CTTACCAGGCAAAAGGGATGAATTGAAGATTTCATAGTCTTTGAAAGCTTTTTCAGATCTTAGTTTATCCAATCTATCATATCACATTAAAACAATTAGCAAAGATGGTGAGGAAACTCCAGACCAAGGAGAGCCCAGACCAGTAGAAAACAGCCAACTAGTAGTCCCCACTTTGTAGTTCAGCAGAAACTGGGAAGGGAATGTCTAATACTGGCCCGTGGTGTGTGTTTGGGGCAAAACACAGCAGGGAGGCTCAGAGGGCTTACCTCTTCCTCAATTTCTTCAAAAACTTTGACTTTTCTCTTCTGTGCCCCCATCTCCTCTGTGTCCATGGTGGAGCCCTTATCTCCTCCCCACCCGCCCCTGCACCTGGCAACCTAGCTGTGGGCTTCCTGGAGACTACAGCTCCTCCTGTTTTAGATTCAGGAATTGGCCAATGATAGGAAACCAAACTGAAACTCGGCAGGTGCCCTGAACAACAGAAAACAGAAGCCAAAATAACATCACAATCTTTTTATTATGATTTCCATTGTGCCCAGCTTCTGGGAGCATTACCTCCTTCTGGAGTGAAGGCTGAGCCATGCGGAGGAGCATGCAGCTATAGTGATGGGAAGACAGGGCTTGGGGATGTTCCCCTCAGCTTACTGTCAAGTTACCTTCCAGAGAACAGCATTGGATCCTCCATTATTACTTGAGTGTTCTCAGAGCCATTCTCACAAGTTTGTGTTCGGCCAGAAGATAAATCAGAGACCATCTCTCACAGGAGGCTACGCTTGATGGCCTTTGTTTCACCATGGATATGGAAAGGCCTTGCTACTTATACCTTGATGTTCTTATTTGTGGTCATCCCAACCCATGCTACACAAACTAGAATGTTACTGGGCTTCTTAGTCACTGGCCTGAGCAGATCTGACATCCTCTCTGATCTTAGTCATTGGGGCATGTGGCCCAGAGGGAAGAAAGTTTTTCCTTAGTGCTAGTGGGGTCTATTGGAGATTCTGTAATATGTTCATTTTCTTTCCTTTCAAGGTTGCCTAAAGCAGTGGCAGCAAGAAAGCAACAGCAGGGAAAATGCCTAGTCCTACCCCACTCCAGGGTGAACCATCGAGAACAGGCATGACGCATTAATACCCCCAACTCAAGGAGGCCTCTGTTGTCTGGGCTGAAAGCTAAGGGCCCAGAGAGAGATTCTGGGCAAGTTGAAACCCGGTGGTGTGGAGACAGCAACTATTTTATTTCACTGTAAACAGAGGGGTAAAAAGGGGTTTGGTTACAGGTGCTGCCAGGATGTCCTAAAATTCTGGCATCAGTAGTGTTTTGCCTTTTAAATGCCAAGTATGTTTCTGTCTTTACTCTGTTGATTTGATGGGACCTGCAGGATCACCAGAGCTGCTACCAGTCCTGCCTTGAGGTTCCTCTTGGCTTTGTGGTATTCATGGCTGGCCTGGGGCCCTGCCAGACCACTTCTTTGGAGCTTCTCTCTTGCCTTTAGGCTTCTTGGCACCACTTTTACTGAAGCCATGAGACCTGCAATGGTTGAGGTTTGAGGCTCAGCAGCCTAGGCACCATCCTGAACCCAGCATCCAGGGAGGTGCTCTCTTCCCAGGTGGTTTGATTCTGTGCTTCCCATATTGTTGATAGGAGTGGGGGACCCCCATATTTGGTCACTTTAACAAGGCCAGGGTGACATCCCATAGGGAGCACCAAGGTCAGAAAGGCCAGTGTTTGGCCTGCAGTCACAGTTACTTAGGCTGAGGACAAAAAGAGGCAATGTGCTCATGGCTTCAGCCATGGCTATCCTCTAAGGAAGAGCTCTTGAAAGGGATCAGTATCTATGAGTGAGGAAACTGCTCCATCCCTGGGATCAAAGGGGCCTGTTGCTCAAAAGCATAGAGCCTCCATCTGCTAGGAAAGGCTGATCTCATGAGAGGAAGCCATGGAACAAATCTGAGGAGGCTATGTGGCCACAGTTATTGCCTCAGCTGCCTCTCAGTCCCAAATCTCCACTATATCATCCAGACGTCCCTGCCTTTATACCTGAGCATGGAGAAGAGGACTGTGGGTTAAAAACAGACTGAGGGCAAGTAGTCTTCAGAGGAGCATCTGTGTAACCTCAGTCTCCCTTGACTTGGGGGTGGTGGTGCAGTTGGGGGTGACTGGGAAAAGAACTGATCTCTGCAATTTTGGGTAGCTAAGATGGAAACATTTTCTTGTACTCCTATTACAGTCAAACACTAATTTCTGTACTTGGCAGAATTTCAGACAGTCACAATGATGAAAGGGCTTGAAAAGGAAAGGAAATGAGCTTCACTAGGTTTGGGTTTGGGTGGAACTCCAGGAGTCAGTGATGGACAGGGAGGCCTGGCGTGCTGTGGTTCATGGGGTTGCAAAGAGTCAGACACGACTGAGTGACTGAACTGAACTGAACCGAGGTTTATAAAAGTTTGAATGTCTCCATACATCCTGGAGAGAGGCCCTGTGGATTAGGACACTGTAAGGGGAGACCTCAGAAAGGTGGGTTGGGATAGAGCTTCTACAACTCTTAACTGAGGGAGCAATGGAACCTCTCCTCTTCCCTTCGGTAAAGAGTTAGATGCCTATGGAGAAGAGACTGCTTGCTTTTCTGTCCTTTTCTGCTTCCCAGGACTCCTGTGACTTGGCACCCCATCTTTTGATGAGGGCATTGTCTCCTCTGGGCCCTTTGCAGCATGTCCCCACCAAGGAAGCTTGCTGTCCCAAAATAGGGAGGGGTGGTCTCAAATGGGTCAAATCCTACTGTGGAAGAACCCTGGGGCCTGTTTTGCCAGGCCCTGAGATACAGTTGGGCTGCTCTAGTGGCCTCCCGTCTTTACCACTCACCCACAGAAAGCTAGAAGCTGCTGCTCCAGAAAGGTAGGCATCACCTTGGTCTGTGAAGGATCAGGGAACAAGAAGATGGACTTCCAATCCTTGTGACTGATGATGAGGCAGGAGAAAAAAGCTGTTCAGCTCTCAAAGCCTAGAGCTTGCTTTTACTCAAAATGCCTTGTCCTGAGATCAAGCAGCCCAAGGCCATTGACATAAAAGGTGATTTGCTAGGAGAGTAAGCAAGAGCCCTTGTGCTTAATGTGGTTTAATCTTCTCAGTGCAGAACCACAGGCCGGGCTGCTTCAGATGCAGTCGTTGGGCCCAAGAGTCATGTGCTTTCTCTTTTTTTGGCTGGACTGAATAACGGCCCCTCCTACTGGTTAGTCTTGGGAGTGTGGCTATGGAGTATTTACAAAGAACTGAGGGTTTTGAAATGTTCAGAGCCATACACATGAACCCAGTTCATCTTCTGTCTGCTTCTTTTCAGTCCTAAATAATCCAACCCCAGAAGCTTCTTACTTGCCTTTCAGATCACGCTGTATCTACAGGAGAAGACCATACAGTGCTCTTGCCATGCCCCAAGTTACAGCTCCCCCCATCCTCTGAGCAACCCTGAGTTGTTTGTCTTCTGGAATGCGGATGTGTTAGTTTCTTTGTGACTGAGCCCAGCCCCTCTCAAATAACTCCTGGTACCAAGTCAGACCTTGCTAAACCTAAGTCATGAGGTTGGAAACAGAAGCTTGAACTTTAGGGCCTGTGCTTACCCACAGCATATGCTGACTGGAGAACTTGATGAGAATTTTGGAAGAACAGCTGGGGCTGAGAGGCCAGGCTGGTGGCCTTATGGCAGCATCTTTTTGCCCCCAAAGTCCTCCCTTGCCAGGTCCAGGCCCTAAGCTTGTGGGGAAGAACATGTGGTGAGCAACGGGGAAAAGCAGCAACTCAGGCCATATCTTAGTAACAGGGAGAAGGGAACACCTCCTCCTTCTGTGAGGCTTTGCTGAGACTTTCTCTGTTCAAGACAGCTGAGATGCATATCATCTTCTTAGCTCCAGCCTCTTATCCTCATTGTTATGTGGTTTGAAAGGAGTCCCTGTTTAGGGCTCTGTACGCCATACCATGGCATACTTTTCTATGTCTGCAGTTAAGCTAAAGAATGGAAAAAAATGAGCCTTCTCTCCTCTTTCATTCAGGCCTACCCTCCCTGGAGCTCAGGCTTTGGGTCTCTGTGGTAGCTGACCTGGGTGAAGCACCTAACCCAGAAGGTTGCCAACTGCCATCATACCTGTTCCATTTGGCCCTTGGGCCCTGGGCCATGAGCACCCACCTAAAAAACAGGGGTCAGGATGGCTCACCTTGGGTTTGGACTGGTCTGCTAAATAAAGACTTTTGGACTTAAATGACCTGGATGAGAGGTTCCTAGATTTCTGGGTCCCTGGGAGGGGCTGCCTCCCCCTTTTCTAATTGGCACTCCACAGACTAGCTCCTTCTCTGTCACCAGGAGTTGGGGTTTAAATAAACAATAAATAAATAATAAGTGCAGTGGTGGTCTTCAACAATTTCCCCCACCCCAACACACCTGAGGGACACAGCACACACCTAGTAGAACAGAGGTTTAGCACAGAAGGGGTTTTCAATGTGGGAAGAGGGCGTCTGGCAGCATCTCTAGCAGAGTATGTGAATCTGATGTGCCCCCTTGTTAAGACTCACTTGGCCAGAGACTGACCTACTGTAAATGAAAACTTGCCAACCGACCCCCCCGCCCCGAATCTATACCAGGGGCTTCACAAAAGAACTTTGGTATTTCTTCAACAAAAAAGAAGTATCAGGTCTCTGACGACATGGACAGCTAGGCGTGTGTGTTCGTGTGTGCATGTGTGTGCAGTGGCAGGTCCAGTCTGCAGTGCGAGGGCAGGGGGTGGTCCTGGAGCAGATGCTACCACAGCTCCCAGGGCTTCTCCATGTGGCAATGCATTTACCACTTCTGTTGTGAGGGGAATGGAAACTTCAGTGCCGCCAAGCTTAGTGATAAACTGAGATGTGGACAGTGCTCCATCCCCAGAAGTCTCAGGACCAGAGGTTAGTGGGGAAAGGGAGAAATGAAAGGAGGGAGAGAATGCCACTGTCCCCAAACTGAGCTTTTCTGCTCCATGCTATCCTGGGGGCTTCAGGTGAATGGCCGAACTGTTGGGGCGAGCAGCCAAGATGTAGATGACACTCTCCTGCAGGAAGGTAGGCCAATCCACAAATCTGGAGTGGAAGCAAAGAACAGATTTGTGAGGCTGGTTGCTGAGTCTGGAGGCTAGAAGACCTGGTCCCAGCAGCATGGCTTGAGCTGGGCAAAAATCAGGGAAGTCCTGGCTTGTGCCTGAAGTGGTGCCGGCAGACTGTGCTTCCAGGCTGATAGCTAGATTTGATCTAGCCCTATGGATCTGGGGTCAAATCTGGTTTCTGGGGTGGCCATTTGTTGTTTTGGGGTGATGGTGGGTAATGCCCAATCTTACTTGTGTGTGTGGGGGTCAGGGTGTAGACAGCCAGGTAAGGAGGTGTCACTCACCTGGACTCAGGCTCTGTGGGCAGTGGGGCCTTGTCCTGACTCTTGCTGCTGCTACTGGCTGGGCTGCTGTCTGCTATGGGACCCACATGGCTGACACTGTTGGGTACAAAGACATGTGGTTAGAAGTGGGACCATGGAAGGTCTGCCCCTCCCATATTCTGGTGAATCCAAAGCTCTGGTGAACCCCTGGATATGCACGTCCAGACTTTTCTGACATGGGTGAGAGAGTTTGGAGTCAAGGCTGATCTATGCCTTGGCCAGTAGGAGTCACTGGCCACTATCTAATTCACAGAAGGATCCTCTCCTGGCTACTGGACGAAAGGGCTGAAGAAACAGGGAGGCAGGTACCTTTCATACCAAAGGACAGAGGAGGAGGGTAGGTGAGTGGGGGCAGGGATTGGTAGGGAGTGGACCTGACACTGCAGGAAGGAGCCTCGATGGGGCGTTTGCAGAACCAAGAGTGTTGCGCACGGTGGCACTCGGCCTCGCTGATAGTGCTCCCGCTGCCCCGGGCCAGGAAGGTGGCTCGGGCTCGCTCCCGCTCCTTGACCGTTAGAAGCCTTAACAGAGAGTTCTGTGAAAGAATAGAGAAATTAAGACCTTGGAGATGAAAATATTTTGTAAACTGTCAAGCCATAGAGAATCCTACCTCCATTATTATCTCTGCAACCTCCCTTTGAAGCTGCCTGGAGCCTTTCTGGTAGCACCAACATTTGCAGTGAGGTCCAGCGCAAATCAGTCTTCCTTGGGCAGTTTCCCCAGCCCAGGCACTGGATCTCCTGTCACTGGCTGGAACCTGAGCCCTTTCCTGGTACTGGTTCCTGCTCAGAGAGTACCCAGTGTTCCCCCAACCTGCCTGGCATGCTTCCCAGGGCTCTGTCACCCAATATCCCACAGACATTCACCCAAGCTGGCCCTTACCTGGGGACGCAACTGCTGTAGAAGCAGGAGGGACTCGTGGGACAAAAAATCAGGCCATTCAACGTGTCCTCGGCGTTCAGGGTCCAGGGCTGCAAACTGGCGGGCTGCCTGCTCCTCTTGCGCCTCACTTAGAGCCCTGTCGCTGCTCCCTCTCTTTGCTGTCTGGTGGCGGTAGCGTAGGAAGTCCTCCAGTGTCAGGGAGCAGTCTGTGGGGAGGCACCACACGCTAGGCATGCCCGCCCTTCTCTCAGCATCTGCAGTACCTCCACTCACCTCGAGTGTGCCCTCCAGAGCCCCCGCACCCACAGCTTTTGTCCAGTCTGTTTCCATAGCCAGGATAACACAGGCTGTGACCAGGGGCAGGCCAACAGCTTGCAAACAGGGTTCCATTTACACCCTTGCCCTCCAAATTCCAGATTACTCCTTTCATGGTTCATCCTAGAAAGTACAAAGGAGAAGCCTGCCTGGCCGTCTCCATTGGCAGTACCACCCAGCCTTACCAGGGATAACTTTACACTGCTGAAAGGTCTCTGTGAGGCTGTACATTTCCTCCTCAGTTAGCAGCAAGTTGAGATTGTCCTGAAAAAGAAGAAGAGCTAAATCAATGGCCATATAGGCCAGAAAGAAAGGCCAAGGATCAAGAAGGGTGAAATAGTATTTCAGATGGACGGCAATTATGGGATCATCTGATCCCAGCATCTCATTCACAGTCAAGGAGACTGAGGCCCCAGAAAGGGGAAAGGACTTGCTCAGAGCTGTCCAGCTCTGGCCGGGATCATCCCCAGAATCCCGTTATCCTGGCTCCACCCTGAAGTCCCTTTTACTAAAGTAGTGGCTTTTGGATTATTCTCTGATAGCTTAGGGGCTCCTTGGTGGTGCCTTAGGAAGTTGCTGCAAGTGAAAAGGGGGAAACTGGGTAGAGTTGTGAATCCTCAGTTCCATCTACCAGAGTAGCTCCATCTTTATCTATTTTATGTATCTGGCCTCTGTGTTAGACTGTGTTCAAAGAGTATTTTAGTTTAAAAAGTTTAATTCTAACTCCAGTTTCCATATTTGGTAAAAGTGTTTAATCCTAAAGTTGTATCACTTTCACTCCAGAATGGTTTTGAAAGAGATGCCATCATTAAAAATTTCCTAAAACCAAATGATTTTTTTTTTAGTGGTGCCATGGAAGTTTTAATTCCAAAAGAGCACTGATATGTTATTTTGTTAGCATTAATTTATAGTCTTACAGTCTTTAAACTACCAAAGATTCTTTACAGTAGATCATTTCCTCTCTAAAATACTAGTAAAGAATAGGAGCAGACATTTCATGACTATTCATTTGTGGATTTCATGAAAAACCCAAACCATTCTTGCAATAAATACTTTTTGAATACCTAGTATATACTTGGCACAATGGTGTATAACATTGTGAGATGTTCAGTACAGCCGGAGTGTAGAGAGTGTGACTGTGTGTGTGTGTGTGTCTTGGGAGAGAGTAGGGAGGAGTGATAAATGATAAGGGAGGTGAGGTCAGCAGAAGCCTGAATGTGACATGCCCCAAATACCCTTTATTGAGTCCTTCAAACTGGGCCTTTTTTCCTGAGAGCAAAGGGGAGTCACAGAAAGGTTTTTAAGTGTAGAGTGCTATGGTCAGTTCTTTGTCTGCTGTGTAGAGAATGGGTTACATGGGCAAAGCCTGGTGGCATGGAGGGCAGTTAGGTGGTTGATGCAATAAAGAAAAGATGAGTGGCTAAACTAAGACCTGAGAATGAAGAGAAGGGGAAAGCTCTGAGAGAGATTGGGAGGTGGAGTTCATAGGACTTGCTGACCCCCTGCATGTGAGGGGTGAGGGAGAGAAATGAGTAGGGGCTGGTAATTAGGGGGTGGTGGTGGTGTTACTATTTACAGAGGCAAGGAATGGAAGGAATAATGGGTGTGGGGAAAAAGACGAATTCATTTTGGGGCATGTTGAATGTGAAGTACTTGTGAGACATTAAGATGGATATACGTCTAAGAGACAGGAAATTTAGGTCTGGACCCACAGAATTGGGAATTATTAGTATTTAGGTGGTGGAGTAGCCACTGAAGTAGATGAAGATCCAGAGAGAGAGAATATAGTGGGAAAAGAACCCTGAGAGACACCAGCATTTAGGTCTGGGACAAGAAACTAAGGGCACTTAGGGAGAATGGTCAGAGAAGGAAGTTGGGAAGAGAATCAGTAGAGGGTACTAGAAGCCAAGAAAAGAGAGTTGTACAGTGTAGAGGTAATGTTAACAGTGGTTATGCAAGTCAGATGGCATTTTACTGATTTTCTATTTTCTCTGATTTCCACATTTTGTGTAAAGACTCTCACAAAAATATTCATACCCTAAAAAAAGATGGAGCGATAAGAAGTGCTAAATACATCAGAGAGGTCAAGTAAAAGATTCCTGAGAAAAGGTCACTGAACTTGACAGTTAGGTCACTGGTGACCTTAGAAGAGCCAGTTCAGCAGAATGATGGATACACAAGCCAAATTACAGGCAGCTGGGGAATCACAGGAGATACACTGCCAAACAGAGTTGCTGTGAGTGAACAAGTTTGCATTTGGAGGCGTGGTGACTGGAAGAGACTGCCTGTAGAGGAGGCCCTGCCATGTCATACTTCAGCTGGGGAGGAGCTATTTACATGTCTGGAAGTAACTGTTCTATACTCCACTTTATGGACAAGCCATGCAGAAGGTATTATTTGTTAGGAAGCAGAACATCTTTACTTTATCCTCGGTGGTAGGAAGAAGAGGGGATCAGCTTATAATCCTTACTCTGAAATCAGTGAGTAATGAAGATCTGCAGGGCAACAGATCAATAAAGCAAGACTTGAACTCTACTTAGGTTTACTGAGAAACAGACATGAATCTGTCTTTTTATCTTCTCAAAAGTTAGCGGACATTTATGTATAATTTGCAAAGTTCTGAATCAACAGGTCTTTGTCACTTAATTCACAAAATGATTACTTCAGAGATGAAGAAAAAGGCTCCAATGAGTTATGTAGAAAGCCAAATGGGGATCTCAGGACTAATAACTTTTCCTGAGATAGAATCTATCCTTACAGGAAGCAAGCCAGTTAGGATTTCAGGTTGGTTTTCCAGATGAATACAACGAATGACAACTATCAACTATTAGATTAAGTACTGTTCCAAGCAAGACTTCCCTCATGGCTTGGTCAGTAAAGAATCTGCCTGCAATGCAGGAGACCTGGGGGTTTGATTCCTGGGTCGGGAAGATCTCCTGGAGAAGGAAATGGCAATCTACTCCAGTATGCTTGCCTGGAGAATCTCATGGACAAAGGAGCCTAGCAGGCTACAGTCTATGCATCCGGAAAAGTTGGACACGACTTAGCAGCTAAATCACCACTGCTCCAAGCAGAATCAGTTTTGAATAACTGGGTCTCATCCTATCCATTCTGTCCTCCAGCCCAGTGGCTCTCAACTGGAATGTCGTGCTCCCCCAGCACACATCTGGTAGCATCTGGAGACATTCTTGGTTGTTGCCACTGTGGGTGGGTGTTACGGGTATCTAGTGGGTAGTGGCTAGGGATGCTGCTAAACATCCTACAATGCGCACAGCCCCCACAACAAAGAATTATTGTGCCTCAAGTGTCAACAGAACTGAGCTAGGAAAGCCTGTCCTAGCCCTTGTATGTACTATTGGAACACTCTCCTCCAGGGAAAGTGCCCAGTCCTTAGCAGTGCAGGAGCCCAGCGTCCCCGCAGCCAAGGCTCACACAGTAGTGGCAGCTCCAGCCTGTTTCCGTGTGGGCCGTTTCGGTCACCTCTGCGGCACTGTCTCCCTGGATGTAGCCCATGCGGCGTAGGCAGCCATCATGAAAAACCCTGGTGCAGACCCTGCACGGGAAGAGACTCTCGGCTGTCCAGACTTCACAGACATCACACATCTCATCATTAACAACCTGGGGAAAGATGGCAGCAGTGAAGAGCAGCAGGATCCTAGGCCACCAAGCCCAGTGCTACCTGACTGGGGCTGAGTGTCCCTGGAGTAGCCTAGAGGAGCAACTCCAACTGAAGCCACTGTTAAGGCAATAGAGCGTTCTCCCTGGAAGGTAAGAACCAGCAGGTTTTTCCAGGTGCTCAGGCCTCTGTGACCATGTTTCTGAGCAGGAATGCTATCAGCATTTTTGGAAAGAACAATCTCTTGTGAAAGACTGTCCCAGGCATTGCAGGACCCTCAGCATCCCTGTGTTTCTTGGCACCAAATACAAGAGCAATTTCTAGTTTTGTGACCCTCTCCCTACCCCACCCAAATTTCCAAATGTCTCCTACAGAAAGCAATATTCTCTCTTAGGTGCGAGGGCTGGCAAAAGACCACCTCCCCCCATGGTATCATTCCTTATCACCTACTTCCTCAAGTTTTATCACTAAGTCTATCCAGGATATATTATTTTTATTCTTGGGGAAGAATTGCAAAGATCACTCTGACTCAGCTCCACATTTCTGGTTTTGAGTCTTACTTTAACCATACCCAGGCCTCCCTGTCCTGTTCCCTGATCCTCAGGTCTAAAACTGGAGGATTCTGCCCTTTGTGGACACTCACAGGCTCTCTGGGCTCCAAGCGGATATCTGGAGGCTTGTCGTCATCCAGCTTCCGGGTGGGGCGGACGAAGGCAGGGGGTGTCAGACGACTGGTCCTGTCAAACTCCTCCGGCTCCACTCCGCGCCCATCCCGGAGCCGCTCCCAGGAGGCACGGCTGACACCACTCTCTTCTTGGGGCGCCGGGGCACTTGCCTCTGCCGCTTTCTCCTCCTGCACCTCCTGGGCAGAGCCCTCTACCGTTCCACGGCGAGACCCCGGAAGCTCATCTGTGCGTCGGACGGAAGGCCTGTCCCGCAGCCCATCCTTGAAGGCAGACACAGCCAGGCTCACCTTCTGCACCTGTTCCACTGTCTGCCGCTTGGACATCAACACCCCCATGGCTCTGTGGACAGAGAGCAGAGCGGCCCAGACTCAGCCGATGGCTTGTCGTGTTAGGCCAGTGCGTTTCAACCATCCACCTAAGGGGCCAATGCTATTAAACAGCTTCTCCCTTTTCTGGAACTCCGTAGCATGGTGGGGTGGACAGAGCACTTGTTAAGGAGTCAGAAGACCTTGGTTCTATTTCTGACTGGCCCTGTGACTTTGGTTTTCCTGTTGGTAAAATGAGGGTGATCGACTCAGCACACGTCACAGAGATATGAGAATTAACACTAGCAAAGGGGCTTGTGTAGACTAGAAAGCACTCTACAAATGTGAGATGGTATCTCTGTCTCCCTTCCTGTCCTGAAGCCAATTAGGTATAGGGGCCCCAGGCCTCTGCTACTTTGAGATAGTTGGAGACCAAAGAACCCAAGTCTGCCAGAGATGATCTAAGGCTGAAAGGAAGACTGCAGCTATACCTTTCAGACTTGGGACTCTTCTGACAAGTGCTATACACAAGAGTCCATATCAAATGCCTACTTTTTGAGTCAGAATACATGAACTCCTATTTTTGGAGGGCTGAATGCCTCATTCAGGAAACTCTCCCACCTCATACATGTGGTCAAGGTCTCAAACACTTCCTTTGCCCTCTCTAATTAGTAGCTATGCCTGCTTATGAGTCTGTCTGTCGATCACAGACAACCTGCCCATTACAAGCTTTACAGTGCTTCTCACACTTGTAAGCCTTCACTAATGTCATGCCCACCTTTTCTGCTTTGATTCTCTGAACTGTTGAACAAAGGTCTATATTCTTTACAGCTTAAAAAGGTACATTATTCTTGCTCTTCCTCTGTAGTACCGGGCATTGGAAAGTGAAGGCACAACATGGCACACAGCAGAGCTAGTCTGCTATTTCCTAGCCTTTAAGGGTCTTAGCGGAATTCAGTTGGGGAATGTCTGTTCTAAGTGGAACAGAGAGTCCACTTGCTCTCAATCCATCATAATCAAGGCCTATTGAACAGTAATTTGTGCAAGACACTGACAGCTTATCATTGGAAATAGAAGGCGGGAGAACAGAGTCTTACCACTCACGCTACTTAACACCAGAACTCAAAGAAAAATAAGAGAGTGCTGGAAATGCCTAAAGGAAGGTGAGACCATACAACTGGGAGTCAGAGTGGACCTTGAAAGATGGGTAGGAAGTTATCCCCAGTTTGGGGAAAAAGGTGACAGAGGGAAGGAGGAGAGATTCAGGCTGATTAGAAGGCTACTATAATAATCTAGGCAAGAGGCAGAGAGTTTAAACTGAAATGGTAGCAGCAGGAATGACACTGAGTTGATTTGATACTATGGAAACAGAGAAATTTAGGAATAATTGGTAACTTGATTGGATCAAGGGAAAGGGTGAGAGGGCAAGTTATATTTATTTCCCAGCTTTATTGAGATGCTATTGACATATAACGCTGCTTAAGTTTAAACTGTACATGTGTGATGGCTTGATAATCATATTGTGAAGTGTGTACCACAATAAGGTTAGCACATTCTTTATCTCACACAATTACCATTTTGTTGTTCTTATGATGAGAATGTTAAATTCTATACTCAGCATCTTTCAAGTACACAATATATAACTGTTAACTATGGTCACACACTGTACCTTAGATTCCCAGATCTTTTCATCTTATAAGTGAATGTTGTACCCTTTGACCAATATCCCCCCATTTCCCTCACCCCTCAGCCTCTGGAAACCATCATTCTTCTCTCTGTTTCTATGAGTTCAGTGTTTTTAAATTCCACACACAAGTGAAGTCATACAGTATTTTATTCAGGATTTTCCCACCTGACTTATTCAGATGGCAGTTTTAAATTTAAGTTTAAAACTAAGAAGAAGGGCAGTGCCATTTATGGAAATTGGGAAATAAGAAAGAGGGATGATGAAGTTGGATTTTATACATGTGGAATTAAAAATATCTCTGGGATATTCAGGTGTTACGCTATCCGCAGTTTAAAACTTCAATGGCCTTCCAAAGCTTTCAGGATAAAGTGCCCTAAATTGGTTTCTTTCTTTTCCAAAATATTTATTTGGCAGCACCAGGTCTTAGTTATAGCCCTCAGGATCTTCTATCTTTAGTTGCAGCACATGGGATCTTTAGTTGTGGCATGGGAACTCTTAGTTGCGGCATGTGAGATCTAGTTCCTTGACTGGGGACTGAACTGGAGTCTTAGCCACTGGACCATCATGAAAGACCCCAAAATCAGTTTCTTTACTATGGCCTGTAAGGCCCTTCTTGGTCTGGTTTTCCTTTTTTATTCTGTTCTAACCACACTGGTCTTCTTTTAGTCTTTTTTTGCCATGCTCTCTCCATTTTGGACCTTTGAAGATTCCTTCCTCCTGGCTAGTGCATCTTCATCTATCAGAGCTCAGTTCACCTACTATTTCCTCATGGAAGTCATTGTCGACTCCCCAATCCACACAGAAGTGCTGACAGCACTGTGCTCTTCTGCTTGAGAACACTTATCTTTGTCATTACATATTCAATAGGATGATTATTTAATCAATGTCAGTTTCCTCTATTAGATTGTTTTTACCCTGTGTAGTATCTACCTCTACTGACTAGCAAAGTGTCTGAAAGAGAAAAGGCATTTAATAACATTTCCCAGTTAATTAATTGTGGATGTCTTTTTTTTTTATTTTTCAGAGACGTCTTAATACACATAAAATCTGATGACAGCAACGTCTTCTTTCTAGAAACAACTATTTTATGTGCCACAATGGTGAAAATTCCTACTCTGCCTAGCTGCTTGCCCTGCTATCACTTGTTATTAAAGGAACCCAGCTCATTTTTTAAAACTTATAAGTTTACTTATAAGAAAGGAAATATTCCATTTCCCCTTTTGTAAAATTTGTTTTTAAAATTAAAATATGATTAAAGAATATTTGCTGTGAATAAGTGTCATTTACAGGATAGCAGCAACAGAGATTTATAGAGGCAAGATTTATTGATCAAATTCAGGAAACTGTTTAAGGTGATTAAAAACTCATTTTTTCCCTCAGTTGCAAACAAATATTAGATTACAGAAGAATGGTTAAATTATGGTACAATGGAAGACTGAACAATATGAAAATCACTGAGGCAAAAGTAAATTTATTAATGTGGAAAGATGTTAAAATATATGAACATTAATGAAAAATGCAAGTTACAAAAATGCTCATGTTATCTAATCTTTGTTAAGGAAGGATGCATATGTTTTTCACATTTTTGTTAATCTGATTTTTCTAATTTTCCTACCTTGCACATTAATTATATAATTTAAAAAGTCACAGAGGCAACTTGGTGCCTTGTTTTAGCTCTGAACCTGCTGTGACCTATGACATGTTATTCTACCGCTATGGGCTTCAGCTCTTTATCTGTTAATGCGTATGTTCGGAATATGCAGTCTTAAGCATTTAGAATGCTCATGTTCTTTTCTACATTGTTTTAAAAGTCCATGTGAGCTCATGAGCATATGAGGGTACACAGCCTGGGTGGGGCTATGGGTAGAGGAGAGAGTGTGTATGTTAGAGCTTTGCTGAGGCTGTGGGCCCAGGGAATTTGTCTTTTTTTTTTTTTGGCTGTGTAGCATGGCATATGGGATCTTAGTTCCCCAACCAGGGATCGAACCCATGCCCCTTGCATTGGAAGTGAGGAGTCTTAACCACTGGACCAGCAGGGAAGCCCCCAGGGGGTTCCTGAGTGGCTCGGTCTGTCGTCTGAAGACACTGCTCACAGGCCTTATGCACGCTACTGTGCTCTACAGTTAGGTGGAAAAGCAGGTCCCCAACTTACAATGAGAGGAACAGGCAAGGAGAATGCAAAACTAACACCGAGCCCTTCACTCAGAACCTTACTCATAAGCAATTACTATTTCCAAGGCCACAGTGTTTTCCTCAGAAACCTTCCATGGTATGCTTTTTTTCTGACTGTGGCCCACAGTAAGATATATAGTTTATGATGTAACCCTGTACACACGAAGTTATAAACACATGTTCATAGACCTATAACTGAACCCTAAGTTTTGTGAAAAGAATCCTAATTTTACTACATGTCAAGCTCCCAGGTATTTTCTAGTTCAAAGGGCAATCTTAATAGTGGCTCTTTAAAATGATTTGATAATTTCATAATGGGTCTGGACCTGCAATCTGAAAAACAGCCATAGAATAATTATACATTTTTAATTAGAGAACGATGCTTTTGTTTTTTGATTTAAAGATGGTTACCTGGGTTGGGAAGATCCCCTGGAGAAAGGAAAGGCTACCCACCCCAGTATTCTGGCCTGGAGAATCCCATGGACTGTACAGTCCATGGAGTTGCAAAGGGTCTGACACGACTGAGCGACTTTCACTTTTCACCTCTGAAAGACAAGGACAACACTGTGGGGTGTAAGGTGTGCTTTTCCCTTGACTGGAATGATGTAAGAATTGAATTCTCAAGCCTGTCTTAAGAGTCTGTGTGGTTGGAAGGTCTAGAAAATCTGGACGGTACTATCATACTTTAAAAAAAAAAAACAAAACCTTTAATTTGAAATAATTCTAGATTCATGCATGTGTGCTGTTGTGTCTCTTTGCCATCCCATGGACTGTAGCCTGCCAGGCTCCTCTGTTCATGGGACTTTTCAGGCAAGAATACTGGAGTGGGTTGCCATTTCCTTCTCCAGATACTAATATAATTTTGACTGAAGAAAACCATACTGTATAACAAGAGTTTGATCCTCTGACCTGTGGGCATATGTAAAAGAATATTTATCAGAGCATTTATTTTTACAGACATAAAAAGGTGAAAATTACCTTAGTGGGAGAATTATTAGAGAACCTGTGATATATTCATGCTATAAAAATAAAGAGAAAAAAACTGGTTTAATCCAATACAAACACTAGTTTCAGAGCAATGACTCTCACTGGCTGGGCATATAGAGGTATATATATCAGAACTCTAGGAAAAGGGAAGAAACAGTGGATTGAAAAAGCATATCAACTGTAA